TTTCAGAGAGAGCCTGCACACAGTTTTGCTCATTTAGATTCAAATGCCACAAAACAGCCCAACTCCTGGATGAAAGATTACATCTTTATGCAGGAAGGCTTCCTTGGCAAGCTTAGGGGAGTCTGTCAACCAAGAACAAGGATCCAAGGTATGTCTGTTTATTCAAGTACCACATCTGTGCCATGAACTCGGAGATGTGACACCTCTGCAGCGAGTTCAGCTGACAGAACTGTTCCCAAAGCCTTCTCTGATGGTGAGGCCTCCAGAATAAAAATACCATCAGGACCCAAAGAATACAGGAGCCAAACTTCTGTGTTCAGCCTGAACAACTTGAAGCTTGAACTGAAGAATTCTCTTTCCAGCTGCCATTACCTCGGGTGCTGGAAAACAGATTCCCCAAGGTGGGACAGGTAGGGCACAGTTACCTGGTTTGGTGTTTTACTACTTCAGTTCTTGGTATTTTCCTCAGGAAGTCAGAGCACTGGTGTGTGAGTGCTGCTGGAGGGGAAGAGGTCCTTGCCAGGCTGCAGTGCCTGGGTGATGGATTTGTGGGCTAGGCTGTTCCATGTAGTTGCACAATAAGTCAACAAGGGAGGTGAAGCTGAAAGCCCCGAGTCTTAATGACCCAGCAGGTATTTTCACTGCTCATGCCATGGAAATCAACCTGTAATTGCAGCTTCAAGTGGTCACACATAAAAAGCACAGAGTGAAGAGTTACACATTAGGAAATGCAAACACCGTGATCACCTGTGAAGCTTTAGCTCAGCTTCTCTTGGCATATGTATGATCCCTAACTACCTTCTCCATCCTTTCCTTCCCATAAACCCCCACCCTCACCCAGTGAACTTGGTGGGACAACATTCCCTGAACACAGAACTTTCATTACAGTCATTTCCCTTAACCCTGTAGTCAGTGTGGAGTTCTGAGCCCAGTCAATCCTCTCAGCACTGCTCATTTCACAGCACCCCTTCTGCTGAGGATCCACAGTGCTCTCCAGAGCTCTCACACTGCCCCACATGTTAAGTGCCAGGAATGGATTTTTAAAAGGCTGGAAAACTAAGAGTTCAAGGCATCAGAATGATCCTTCTAGTTTTGGTACCCAGAACAAACGTCCCAAGTCCAGTTTTTCAAATACTCCCAATTTTTATAGGATTCTGCTCTGTGCCTGGAAACTCTACTAGCCAGGGGTCTAAGCTGCAGAGATGAGCACCCAGGCCTGGAGTTGTGTACTCAGCACCAAACCCAGAACTCTCCACACACCTGGAAAGGTTCCCAGTAACTTCCCAGCCAGGACCACAATCCACAGCCGGGCAAGGACACACCTGGTTCTCCAGGATGGCACTGACCTGACTCACCAGACCACCACCTACAACTTCTTCCCAGATAAAGCCACCTCACCCAGTGCTTCCACAAGTACCAGGTAATTTAAGATCTTATTGGGCCACCTGGAAATTCTGGATTTCTTCAGATGTCCAAGGCTACTGCAGCCTCTGCTTAAAGTGATTTCAGTCATTACCTGTGGGGATGAATTACTGATGTCAGCACAGTCACAGCTACACTCAAGAGATCAGACAGATTGTTGGGCATCTGAATATCCAATCATCATTCCTCCCACAAACAGCTTAATCTTTATTTATATTAGTTTATTGCCTCAATTGCACAGCACAGACAAACCCCTTTGGGAAGGAGACAAACTCCTGGGGAGCCTTCAGAACAGACCAGCACTCCCAGTCGGAGCAGCAGCTTCATCAGACACAGCCATGTGCACCAGGGAGCCCAGGTCAGCAAGGACTCACACTAGAGCCAAAAGAGTCAATACACCCAATTCCCATAAAATAAATCATGGAATCATAGAATCAACCAGGTTGGAAAAGACCTCTGAGGTCATCAAGTCCAACCCTTGATCCAACCCCACCGTGGTTCCCAGCCCATGGCACTGATGCCACATCCAGTCTCACCTTAAACACCTCCAGGGACGGGGACTCCACCCCCTCCCTGGGCAGCCCATTCCAATGGCTGAGCACCCTCTCTGGAAAAACTTTCTTCCCAATATCCAACATAAACCTCCCCTGGCAGAGTTTAAGGCCGTGCCCTCTTGTCCTACTGCTGGTTCCTGGGAGAAGAGCCTGACCCCCACCTGGCTCCCCCCTCCTGTCAGGGAG